CATCACTGAATCGATGGACATGAGTTTGAGTAAACTCTGGGAGTTGGTGATGGTCAGGGAGGCCTGGTGTGCTGCAGTCCATGGGGTCACAAAGAGTCGGACACGACTGAGTGACTGAACTGAACTGTTGAAATAAACCTCTTTAGAAGGGCTGAAGAGCAGAATGAATACCATTGAAAAGTAAATTAGTGAACTGGAATACAAGGTTGAACATTTTTCCCAGAAAGAGGCATAAAGGAAAACAGAGATCACCTGACAAATCTTTCATATCTCCCCTCATCCCCAGACTCTTCTAGGACCCCCCACAACACTCTTGGTCTATCCCTACTGTAGTGTATGTTGGTCTATCACTAGAGCTCCCACAACACTCTTGGTCTATCCCTACTGTAGTTTGTATATGTGTGTGTGTGTGGTCTATCCCTGCTGCTGCTGCTGCTAAGTCGCTTCAGTCGTGTCTGACTCTGTGCAACCCCATAGATGGCAGCCCACCAGGCTCCTCCATCCTTGGGATTCTCCAGGCAAGAACGCTGGAGTGGGTTGACATTTCCTTCTCCAATACATGAAAGTGAAAAGTGAAAATGAGAGTGCTCAGTTGTGTCTGACTCTTTGCGACCCCATGGACTTCCTCCATGGGAGTTTCCAGGCAAGAGTACTGGAGTGGGTTGCCATTGCCTTCTCTGGGTCTATCCCTAGAGCCCCCACAACACGCTTGGTCTATCCCTACTGTAGTGTGTGTTGGTCTATCCCTACCGTAGTGTGTGTGTGTGTGTCTGTGTGTGTTGGTCTATCCCTACCGTAGTGTGTGTGTGTGTGTCTGTGTGTGTTGGTCTATCCCTACTGTAGTGTGTGTGTGTGCGTCTGTCTGTGTGTGTTGGTCTATCCCTACTATAGTGTGTGTGTGTGTCAATTGCCCTTAAATGGTTCCACACCCGAAACTTTGGAATGTTAAGAGCTAGAAGGGAACCTAAGAGGTGCAGACTGGCAGTACGCTGGCACTGGCCTAATGTGTCACAACAGCGAATCGACGGCCGAATGAGAGCTAGAATGCAGGTCTCCAGATTCCCGCTCCTGGGGCTCTCTCTGCACCCCCATCCCACCCGTGGCTCAGGAAATCTGTCTCATCCCTACTGGAGTTGCCAGGGGCCGGCTCACTGCGAGTTCTACTTAAGAGACGTTGAGAGGATGGGGCACTCACTTGACACAGGGCTGCGGGACAGATTTTCTGGACTCTGCGATTCCCCCTGGGCCGCCAGCTCCGTGGCCTGCAGGGACGGAAGCAGTAGCTCAGCGCCGGGTGCGACATGGTTGCTAGGGCGACCAGGCACCTCTCACCCGGAAGCGAATAGGGGTCCGAGGTTGAGCCAATCAGAAGGCGCCCGGGCTGTGCCGCTGTAGCTGGGCCGTTGCGGAGCCGCTCCAGGTAAGGTCCGGGTGGGTGGCAGCGCCCAGGCAGGGCCCTTGGCCGCTGGGCGCCACGTCCGAACAGGTGGCCCGGGAAGCAGCGCTCCAACCCCGGGACAGTCGCCCCTTCCGCGGACGAGGGATGTATGTCCGTGTGCGTGGTCCGCGCGTCTCCCTGGTGGTCAGTGTGCGGACCTTTCCACCGTCAGCCTCTCCCGCAGTGGGCAGGGTCTGAGGAGACTGCCGGCCTGGTGGGATCTACCCTGTCTGGCAAGGGCCGGTGAGTCTGGAGCAGCAGGATCCTAGGCCTGCGACCAGGCCTGGCCTGGGTCGACGGCTGAGGGGTGTACATCTGAGGCCGGGGAGCTGAATTCTGCGAGATAAAGGGTTGAATTGGAGGGCCTCGGGCTCGTTTCCTGTGTCTTAGCTCCATCTCCCGTTGGTGGCTGTTTGGGGAGAGGATTGGCTACGGTGTATGCTGGAAGAAAGGTACCAGGTCTGGGTATCTGCAAGGAGCTGGATATATGGGTTCAGTCAGAGATTTGCCTGGGAGGGGAATGGTTTGTGGTCAGTTTTCAGCGCCCATCTTGGTGATTCTGTTCCTGGGAGCCAAACTTAGGTTCTCGTGTGAATAAAAATAGTTGAGATCTTCCCAGGCTAAATGGATTTCTGATGTTTTGGCGTCTTATGGGGCCTGCCTGACCAGGGAAAAACTGCCATTCCCAGGACTGGCTAATTAACGATTAATCTGACAGCATGCCTTTCAAATGCACACCAATCAATCCTGCCCGCCTTACCTCCAACAACCTCCTTTGTCTAACTACCAAGCCTGTAGTTCACCTGCCCTAAATCAGTCCAGGGCCAAGTACCAGGCAACTAGGGACAAGCCCTAGACCTTAGAGCCTGTGGGAATTACTCAAAGTAGCCAGTCCTAAGCTGTTTTCCCTGCCTGGCCTCTTCTTTCCTATGGAAAAACCAAGAAAGGCTGAGGGGTGGCCTTCTCCTTACTCCTTTCTGCCTGCTCCTGACACAGGTGCTTCCCTGGCATGACCTACGGAGGCAGACAGACCTCTCCTTTTTAGGAGAGCTGTAAGTAACATTAAACTTTTTCTTTTGATGGTATTAATCTCTCTGTGTCAGCACTCAGTCACCTTTATAAATTAAGGCCCAGGCACAAGTCAAAGTGGGGCTGGCTTAACATTAAATTTTGAATTGAAGATACAAAGTACATGTTTGGCGGTAAGAGGGAAGTATGGGGGAAAGAATTTCAGCTTTGGGGTCAAAGGGATTATTTCACACCCTAGCTCCAGGCTTTGCTTCTATAATAGTGATATTGGACAAGTCGTGTAATTTATCTGTACTCTAGTTTCCTCCTCTATAAAATACAGAAAATAATATTTACCGTCTAGGAGTTTTACAGAATTAACTGAAATAACCTTAATCTTTCCCCTCCATGCAGACTTATATTTCCAACTATGTTCTACACATCTCCATTTGAATGTCTAGAAGGCATCTCCAGTGTAACATCCATTCTGAACTTGTGACACTCCCTATATCTTTTCCTGTCCATTCCCTGGTGGCTCAGATGGTAAAATGTCTGCCCACATTGCAGGAGACCCAGATTCGATCCCTGGGTTGAGAAGATCCCCTGGAGAAGGAAATAGCAACCCACTCCAGTACTGTTGCTTGGAACATTTCATGGACGGAGGAGCCTGGTAGGCTACAGTCCATGGGGTTGCAAGGAGTAGCGACTTCACTTCACTTCACATTCCCATTCTGACCACATGGCTGAACACAGAACCTCTATTCACCTAGTTAAGCTAGGCCCTCAAATTTTACAGTAATTCTAGGCACTTACACCTTTCATCTAATTCATCTACCATTAAAATGCATTGAGACTGTATGGCCACTTTTCAACTCTACTTGTTCCCTCTGTAGTCCAACTCCTCGGTTAGTTTTTTTTATCTCCTACCTGAACAACTGAGTAGTTTCTCCTCACCTCCCTACAGTTGTTTTATTCTTCACATAGCAGCTAGAGTAATTGTTTTAGAACCGAAGTCAGTCATACCAGGCTTTTGCCTTTGCTCTCTATTGACTTTCTGTTATATTTAGTATAAAATTCAAAGTTCTTCCCAGGGCTTATATGGACATCTCTGCTCTCTGACCACATCTCCTTTGCTTACTGTGTTGCAGACCCACAAGACTCCTCACTGTTCAGCCCACTGCATTGAAGATGTTATTCTGGACTTGAACCCTTTTCACCTACTATTGCTTCTGCTTAGAATGTTCTTTTTACAAATATTTCATGACTCATTTTCTGCATGTTCACATGTCTGCTCAAATATGATCTCAGAAAGATGATCACTTTTACCTGACCACTCTATCTGAAAAAAGACTCAGTTTCTTTTCTTCATAGAACTTAATTAATATTGTATATTTGTTTATTGTCATCTTAATCTCTAGAGGATGAGCTTCATGAGGCAAGAATTTTGTTGTCTTTGCTATTGTATCCCTAGAATCTAGCACTTAATAAGTGTTCAATAAGTATTTGTGGAATGGATAAATAAATGAATGGCTGTCTATTCTCATATCATTTATTCAACCCTCAGCCATTCCTCAAATACATATTGAATTCCTCTTATATGCTATACACTGTTAGAGGTACAGTGGTAATCAACATGGATATACTCCTTGCCTTCAGAGAGCTTTCTGAGAGGGGGGTGGGGGTGGGAGATAAACATCAAAGAAACAATAAACATGTATAATTATTTGGGATTTTGAAGAAAGGAATATCAAGAGACCTAGTTCAATTTCTACATATTTGTGTTTCCCAGTTATTTCTCTGCTTTTGATTTCAAATTTCATTTTAGTTTGGTTGCAAAACATACTTTTTAAATTTTTGTCTTTTTGAATTTATTAAGGTTTGTTTTATAGGCTAGTATATTGTCTATCCTGGAAAATTTTCCTTGTCCACATAAGAAAAATGTATATTTTTTGTTGGGTAGAATATTCTGTAGGTCTCTTAGGTCAAGTTGGCTTTTACTATGTTTCAAGTCTTCTGTTTCCTTATTGATCTTCTGTGTAGTTTTTTTTCCCATAGCTGAATGTGGGTATTGCAGTTTCCTGCTGTTATATGTTGTGTATTTCTCTGTTCATTTCTGTCAGTTGTTGGTTGATGTGTTTTGGTGCTCTGTTACTAGGTACAGAATATTTATAATTGTTACATCTTCCTCATGGATTGACTCTCTTATCTTTATGAAATGTTCTTCTTTATCACTAACAAGATTTTTTTGCTTTAAAGTCTATTTTGTTTGACATTAGCGTAGTTGCTGCAGCTTTCTTGTGGTTTCTGTTTGCATGATTTCTCTTTTTCCATCCTTATACTTTTCATTTATTTGTATCTTTGAATTTAAAGTGATAGACAGCATATACTTGGATCTTGTTTTTACTCACTAATAATTTGTCTTTTGATTGGATTGTGTCATTCACATTTAATATTGTTATTGGTATGGGGGATTTATTTTTTCTATTCCACTTTTAGTTGTCAATATATCTCATGTCTATTTTGTTTCACTGTTCCTACTTTATTGTTTTCTTTTGCATTAAATTATTCAATAAATATTTCCTAATGCAGTATTTTAATTTCTTTAGTGTTTTTTTTTTTTTAATTTTTGGCTTACTTTTTAGTGACTGCTCAAGGATTTTGTCGTATACCTCTTAACATATCAGAGTCAACTTCACATTTATACAAACTCAATTTTGGTAATATATAGAAATGTTACTCTCATATAGCTGTATGCCTTTCCCCTCCTTTTTGCAGTAAAGATTCCACATGTAAGCAATATCATACGATATTTGTCTTTGTCTAAGTTACTTCATTTAGTATGATAATCTCTAGGTCCATCTATATTGTTGCTAATGGCATTATTTCATTCTTTTTTATGACTGAGTAATATTCTATTGTGTATATCTACCATGTTTTCTTTATCCATTCATCTGTCAGTGAAACCTTAGGTTGCATCCCCAACTGTACATTGTTATAGTTATTAACCCAGTCCATCTATGCTCCCTCCAACCTGCTTTGTTCTGTTACAGCAAATACATTACATTTTTGCATATCATAAACCCACTATTATATCATATACATATTATTTTATATGGTTGCTTTTTAAATCAGTTATGTGAAGAAAGAAGAAAATATGGATATACACTGTTTGGTAGGTTTTGAGGGGGTTGATTTTGTTTTGTATTTACATAGTTACCTTTACCTTTACGGGTGCTCCTTTTTTTGTCTGTGTGAGTTCAGATTACCATCTAGGGTCACTTTCTTCAGCTTAAACAAATTCCTATAGTATTTTTTTGTAAAGTACATCTTACTGGATTTATATCTGTAAGTGACAAGTTGTTTTTCTCTAAATGCTTTCAAGACTTCTTGCCTTTAACTTTTAGCATTTTTATGTATTGTGTCTATTTATGGATCTCTGGGTTTATCCTATTTGAAGTCCTTAGAACTTCCTGTATGTGTAGGTTATTGTCTTTCAATAAATTTGATAAGTCTTCTTTCATTATTTCTTTAAATATTTTTTCTGTTCTTTTCTTTCTCTCTCTCCTATCCTTCTGGTGTTCCTGTTATACATACTACTAACTTTGGACTTAGTTTGGGTGTAGTTAGTTGACTTAGTTTGAGCTTAGTTTGTTCTTTTTTTCTGGTTCCTTAAGATGTAAATCTAGGTTGTTTATTTGAGATCATTTCTTTTTCTTAACATAGACTTTTATTGTGATAAACTTCCCTCTTAGAACTCCTTTTGCTGCATCCCATAATTTTTGGTATGTTGTGTTTTCATTTTCAGTTGTTTGAGGATATTTTAAAATTTCCTTTTGATTTTGTCTTTGACCCACTGGTTGTTCAGGAGCAT